GTCTAATTTAAGGCCCATGCCAAGAGAGGTAATCCATTCCTGATACTGCCTAGATGGCCAGGATCTGGAAGTTGGATAATTCATCTTTATAAACATCGCAACACACCTGTTATCTAGTCCCAGGGAATATTGTGCATTTGACCTAAAATATTCATAAGCTCAATATCTATAATGTGAAGTAACAGAATTAACAACATAAATTTGATGTAACTGGTGAAAGAAACTGAATGTAAAACATGCTATAGAAAAAGACTTGTAATGTGGATAAGATTCATATAATTACAAAACATAAAAACTAGTAATTTAAATTTTAGGGTAAATAGACTTACAATTTTCTCATATTTCACTTTTTGAAACCTTAGTCACAAGCTATTTACATTTAAAAAAAAAGTACTGAAAACTTTAAGATACACAGCTTAGCTGAAAAATATCATCAGAGTGCCTTTAAAGGCTTTAGTTTGGATCCGTACCCTGTTCCTATCTTTGCTTCCTGAGTGTATTGAAGTATGTTATTTCCTCAAACACACATTTAGCTCAGTGGTAAAGAGTTTTCATAGCATTAATGAAGCTCTAAGGTTCAATTCTGTGCTAAAATAAAATAAAAAATGATTTAAAAAAGATAATGTCCTTTGAAGACTGTAAGAAAATGCTTTTATGTATAAATATAGCTGCATCATGTCAGTTTCAATAAGGAATGGGCCTTACTTCATTTGATGTCTTGACAAATACAAGTATGAGAGAGTGGTTACCTTCAAGTAATGGCATTTTCCTGTTGATTAACCTAATATTTCTTCCATTCCACATTAAATATATATTGCAAGACTAGGCTCACAGTATGTATTCTTAAAGGTTATTGTATTACTTAATATGTTTTAGTTTTATAAGACAGTAAATTTTTTAATTAAGAAATCAGATAATTAGTTATGTCATCATGTTATTTCATTTTATTCTCTCATTTCAGATGTATCATTACTAAAAGTCTGTGAAAGTCATATGTAATAACACTACCCCCAGCCATAAGATACCCTATTTTATATTTTAGTGCTTCAGTAATTCTTTCAAGAATTTCTGTGGAAATCTAAAGAGTGAAAACTAACATTAGCACATATCTCAATTTGGATGTCAAGTGGGAGACTGGGGAGTTCAAAAATCATTTATAAACCATAAGTTTGTGTTACCCATGTATAAATGTTGTTTTCAAAAATAAAAAATACAAACATTGAACACTTTAACTTGGCTATTCCATGAGGAGAAAACAATACATTGTGCTATTAAAGAATCAGCTATAAGGTACAATCAGGTATGACCTGGAAATTAAATTAAACAGTACCTTCAAATTTAATGATCCATTTTGTAATACTTCTGTATCAATTTACAAGAAATCCTTGTCAATAAGCCTTTCTGATTTTAGGAGTCATGCTATGGATTGGAGAAATTCTTTTAAAAAATGATTTAAACTGCACTAACAGTTCAGTCTTAAATCCCTGATAAGAGAATTGTCGGCCTATACAATGGTTTCCCAGTATTTCATCTTACCCTGCATTGACTCTCTCACTCTTCAGCCGTGCTCTGAGTATCCATTATGTCATGTGGGTATGAAATGAGAAGGGAGGACTATGAACTCATGGACACTGGAAACTGCAACTGAATGCAGTCCTTACCACAACAGTGCATACCAAATGCAAGAAAAAGAGTGAGTTAACTGCTCTATGGAGCACATTATTCCACAAATGTTCTTCCAACCTAAAAATTTCAGTCAGAATGCTAAAAGAAAAAGACTAGTCATCTAGTGGAACAAGAGAAGCAAAGTCAAAGCAGCTTTGGAAATATGGTGGATAGCTCATTATTTACAGACTGCTCTCACATTGCCTAGAGGAGTTCAGAAAACAAGGACACAAATTCGTCCTTTAAGAATACAACTGTATTTTTACTGCTGAGTAGTACTCTAATATGTATATATTCCATACTTTCTTCATCCATTCTTCAATTGAAGGGCATCTAGGTTGTTTCCAGGGGGACTTGATTGGGGGAGGGAAAGAGGAGGCAGCGGTGGGGAAGAGACAGAAATCTTTAATTAATTAATAAAGAAATAAATAAATTAAAAAATG